TCTTACACTAACTCACTGGTGTAGTAGGATTAACGCGAACCACACTTCAAATTATCTGATATTACCTAAGTATTTTTAAATGACTTACTTATCTCATGCAATTTTTCTATGTTTAAAATCGAATCATTTAGCATAGAAAACTTAGTTTACATAAACTTATCATGTCATTTCTTTGGACCCATTTTATATTATTATCAACCTACCATACAACATACTCCAATGGTATATGGACAACAATGACACTTGTGTTACGGCCGTAATATTAATTATAACCATGTCTACTTAGGGTCGATATTATTCAAATTGTCTATAAATATATATTAATTCATTTCGAATCAATAATTTACAATCAAGTACGTCAACTAGTTAATATTATTATAAACTAATTGTTGTTGTCTTTACGTAGATGACCGTTTTATTTAGAAAAAAAAATTCAGCGAAACTTAATGTTGTCATGGTAATTACATTTCAATCTAATTCTATTCTATTTAGTATTCAGGATTTTATCCATTCAATTTTTTTTCCTGTATTTTTTTTTCAAAATGAATTACATCATTTATCATTATAGATAAACCTACAATCTGTATACTTGCTTCTATTAATTTCATTCATCTATAAACACATTGAACGATTGCAAATTATATATTCAAATAATTTGACTAAACTGACTTATGAAATAGAAATTCAGTGTTAAATGTGTATGCTAGATAGAAAATTAGATAAAATAAAAAAAAATTCTACTGACTGTTAAACTAGTATAAAATAAATGTTTAGAAAATTGCCAGAAAAAAACTCTAGATTTAAGGCCGGTATAGAGTTCGGAAAAAAGAGAAGGATTGAGTATGGAGCCAGCAACTCCAACTCGTGGAAATCGAACTTGCTAAAAAAAAAAACACCAACCAGAAAAAATAATTCAGACTCTACCCTATGAGTTGGAAGGTCTTTATTTAGAAGAGTTATCTAGACCAATGGTGAAAGTCGAGTTTTTTCGAAAGTCACGAGTATCATGTTCATTCTCACAACCAAAGCAACACTCAATATAAGTAAACGCAAAGTTCGCAAAATCTGGTAGACTGGAAGAGACATTAAAGTTGTTGCAGAAATGAAAACATACAACCTGGTGGTAATTGGAGTCAGCGAAACACATTAGACGCAGATTAGACATCAAACACTAGCTTCAGAAGAGATGCAGTTGTACTCCTGACGTGAAGAAGAAAATACATCACACACAAACAATCTCACTGATGTTGTCCAACGAAGCTTAAAATAACTTGTAGGATGGAGAGCTCATGGAATCAGGATCATCAAAGTATCCTTCAAAACAAAGAAAAAGGATGTTATAATGAATGTCATCCAATGCAAAGTGCCTACCAATGATTACAATGAAGACGATAAAGACCAGTTTTATGAAAGGCTGCAGTTAATCGTCGAGAAATGGCCCGGCAAAGCATCCAACCATTTTGATGGGAGACCGAAATGCCAAGGCTGAAGTGGAAAACACTGGATAAAACAAAATATGCACCAACCAAAGGATCTGATGCAGATATAATGACACAAATCGACCAACCCTGGGCAGCATTTTTACAATTGAAGAACATTTGGGACTCAAAACAACTGTCAAACAATACCAAAGCAAGAATTTTCAACACAAACATCAAGGCAGTTCAGCTGTATGATTGGGAAACTTGGATAAACACGAAAGCCATCATCCACAAGTGGTTATTACCAGTTGTCTACTTCAAATCCGTTGGCCAGACACTATCAGCTACAACCTGCTGTAGGGGAGAATGAACTTTATTCCATCAGAGGAAGAAGCGCTTGCGCTGGATACGACACACATTGGGGAAAACAACCAATGGCAATCCCGCACTTGGAATTTTCAAGGCCGAAGGGAAAAAAAAGGAAGGCCAAAAACACATTAGGTCGAGAACTGGAGACACTGAACTGAAAAGAATGAACAACGATCAGATGGAATCAGAAGTGAAGGTCCAGGGAAGATTAGGTTGTAGAATGCTGATCGGCGACCTGTGCCGCACGAGGTGTAACAGGCGTAAGTACGATCGACGTATTACGACAATCGATGATAAGTTTAGCTTTAAATATCATCTGGAGGAATGACTCAAATAACTGACAGAATCTATACATACACCTGCATTTCTATAGCTTTTGCTATCCATAAAAGTTGGGTTCGAACACTATCGGAGAACGACTGTTCTATATGACAGAAAAATTGAAACAGACACTGTCCACAGTTTTTGAAATTGAATTATGTACATTTTTTCATCCAACACTTTCTAAACCACATTGGGAGACGTTCACTTCTTTGTTCGAGGGAGCGAACTCAGATAGCTTACACTTTGAGCTGATATCACTGGGTTACTAGGAAAAACAAGATTAACTGAGTGAAGTGTCCCTTTGATCGACTTATTATGCAGGATATCGTCAGCTTCGAATTATTTATGTTGTAGCTAGACGAAGACAACGCGTAACTCGGTATTGATAAACCTAGTGGATTGTGGTCTTATGCTTGGTAAAACCAAATAATTCTAAGAGGTCTGTAGTATACTCTCGTCGTCCTACTTATGTGGTTCGGTCCCGTCTCCGATATATACAAGCCGTTAGCAGAAGTAAGGAAGATGAAATCACCATACTTCGTAAAATGACTTTCCATCAGATTAATCCAACTAAGCTAGACAAGTAGGATAGCCGTACAGTTCCAACACACAAATATTTGAATTACCACATCTAGGTTTGTATAAAGCACTAAAAGATCTAAATAGTGGGTTTGAAAACTAAGTCGGTTGCATCTGAAAATGAATCATTTATAATTAAGCATTTTAAACTCACGGTAAAGTTAACGAAAAGGACATCTCTCAATATCTGAACAAATTCAAGGGCAAAAAATGATTATAAGGCCATAATATAACCCACTAATCTGAACAGAACAGGTAACCTGGTTAGGTCCGTAAGTTGGTGAAAACAGTTTTCAAGTTTTTCTCAATCTCTGTTTACCCATGGACTTTCATTTAATGCAGTATTTTCCCAAGCCGAACTATGTTATGGTTCCTAATATAAGGGTCCAGTGCTTTGATTTTTTCTCATCACTTTACAAACAAGTTTTAGCTAAGTAATTTATACAAGAGTCCCTTATTCGATAGTGTTTATGAAAGTAAGCTAAGTTGGGATACTGACGACTCTGACCACCACTATAGTAATTTTCTATCTCGATCTGCTAATCCGCTTATCAAAAAAACGAAGTTGAAAATTTTCAATTAGCCTTTTGAACACATTGAAATTAACAAAGCAAGTAAATAGTTTTTATGCTCACAACATAACTGACGAAGAAAACAGTAAAGCAAAATGGATTTAACAAAAACAAACAAATAAGAAGTCAGGAAAACAACTAGAAAACAAAAAGTAGAAAACCAAGAGGAAACTTTTTAATATATATGCAGAAAGTAAATTGTGTAGGATGACGGAGGGAAAACAACAATAATACACCAAAACATGATGCTGTGTATATAGTGAAAGAATAAAGAAGAACCACTTTAATGTATTCCCCTTTGTTTTAAAAATCACTTTAAGTAAACAACAAGAGAAAAAAAAAAAAACAAATAATGAAAGCAACAGATACACAAAATAACTTAATGTAAATATATGTTTAAAACACAAATAGCTGATTGGATTGTGTTAGATAGAAAGAGGTTCTCGCTTTTGTACAATAAACTTTCAATTTTCATGTGTGATACACAAATACTTGATGATTAAAAACTATGCGTGCACAAGAATACTGACTGACAGAATATGCAAAAGAACATGGACAGGGAAAGACCTTGAAGAGTGAATGAGCATATAATGGAAAAACGGAAATGCATTTTGTTTTCAAGGATACACTTGAATGTAAGCGCATCAATATATATATATATATATAGGGCGAAAACCCCATTTGACGCTGAGAATATACAAAAAAGGCTTATGATGAAAGTATAGAAGTATAGATTAGGCTGTGTACGTGCAACACGCACATACACAGTCATATACAAAGATGAATTGAAAACATTAATCACAATGATTTTTTTGGGGAAGTCGCACATTTTTATATAATATTTTGTATACAACAACTACACAGAATATTAGGAATATGAATAAAAAAAGGATAATTCAATACTTCTCTCTATCGAATCATAACGATGTTATACAGTTTTTGTGTGTGAAAACAAATAAAGTTGATTAGCTGCACAAATATATATATATATATATATATATATATATATATATATATATATATATATATATCAAGTAGTAACAAAATGAAATTTTCAATACGTAAGAATCTAACTAAGCTTACAGTTAGAATAATAGTAATTATTAAGAAAAACTTGAAATACGCGTACAAAAAAAAACAACGCACAATTATATATCTGATTGAAAGAATGGTCGAAGACACCAGAATTAAAGTTCAGTGATATAATATTTTCATACGTCTATTGAATGATAAAAGAGAAAATAGTCCCTGAGTTAAAATGACAATAGATTCTGTTTAGTTTTTTTTTTCGCAAGAATAACAATGATAATAATTGTAATAATATTAATAATAATAATAATAATATTGATAATGATGAATAGAGTAGATTTAGTTTTTTGTGTATTGAACACTTCTTTTATCAAGGTACTAATCACTTATCATCATCATGCAGAAACTTTAAATGAATTTTTCTGAACACCGGGCTTAACAGATATATATTGATCTTCTAACGATAAAACAGAACTTTCTGTCAAAAAGAAAGATATTTTTAGTACACTGGTTAAATGAAAATATTGATTGATGAAGTATATTGAATGTTTACAGTCAAATGAATGAATGTGATAGTAGTAATAATGGTAAAGAAATGATCAAAATGAAGATATTAAGTATGTATTTATAGAGAGAAAGTTGTAGTGCGTTATACGCATAACAGCTGTTGAATACGATTGAGAGATATCAACGAATCAACTCAACTTCATGGTTCAAACAGGAGTGGAAGTAGCCATTCATCTTCTTCAACCGGTCTGAAAATAAAATAATAATAATAACACGCTAATATTGTTGTGCTTTTTTGGTAAGAACATTAGAAGTCTACACAAAAATAACGGTTATATACCCTAGAGTCGTATGATTATAGTTAAGTGACAAGAAAACACCATCCGATGGTATTAATTAGCTTTTAAAACCAAAGTAGATAGAAACTTGAGCTAAGGTAATTTGATATCGAATGATTTTAACATTAAGCTATCGCTAATAGTTGATTGTTTTCAGAGGCCCGAAAATTGCACAAAACTTATTTAGGTTACACTTTTTTTAAGTTGATAATCAACAAACAATACATTTAATCCAAAAAACAATGAATACAAACTAGAATATGCTATAGTATGTTTCTAAATCTTTATGAATAGAATTATAGAATGACAAGTTTAGTAATTCATAATGTGCTCATTGATTGATTGATTCATATACATGTGAAGATGTGTGAAATCTGTTTCTCAGTTGACTAATACAAGATATTAACAGGATCATTTATAGGCGAATTATACACTCATGTATTTCAAGAAAAATGAATAATTACTTTACATTTGCGTTAGTTATCACTAAAATACTTTAGCAAACTTAAATAAGTGACTAACATGCTAAAAGACGTTGGATAACTTACTCATAGTCTTCAGAGATTGTGTCCAGTGGTGTAGGACTTGAATAACCAACACGAAACTGACGTCTAGGTACAAGCAGTCCAGTTCGTCTGCGACTAGATGGCAGAGGATCACGATAGTATAATTCATACAGTTGACCTACGAGGTTTGCACACTCATACACATCAAACCAATCAACCTAAAAGGTATGGAAAAAATTACAAGTTAGGTTAGTAAATTGTCGAACTGAATATAAAATGATAATTCAGTCGTTTGAAAAGGCACGATATGAGATCAGAATAACAGATCTCGGATGCTATGACAGACATGACAAATTTCATTCTCCGGTTTCCGATACTGCAGAAGAATACTACTGGAGGTATTCTAGATGGAAACTGGGCTAATCATGGTTCTAGAGACCAAGGGACGTGACTGCAGAGCTTGAGTTGGATGAGCTTTGATGCTAGCTCCATATTTTGAAGGAACTACCGTTACTATCGGAAATTCATAGGGTAAGGTGAGGTATACTAATTTTAGGAGCGGACACTGTCTGACTCGCTCCTCCTTTTGTGACCAAAGTAGCATAACTGCAGTAGTTCATGGTGTAGGGGGGACCTAGTACAGTCAACAGTACGAAGTCACCTTCTGAACCAGATTTCTTGCTTTTAGTATTATCATCCTCTAAATGATCTACCTAATACAGTAGGGACCTAAAGGAAATTCCCCAACCAATACAAAGAAGTAAAGCCTCACCCTACTACACAAGGCAGTGGTTATCTAGACTCGATAGCTAATTGGATAAGGTGCTAGTATTTGGCGATAAATGGTACTAGGTGACAGTCCCAGAGTAAACGTCAACTTTGGGATGCAGTTGCATTCAACTGACAAGTCAAAAACGCTGCTAACGACCATTCACCTTTGCCTAAAAATTGCTGGTGACAATAGCAATGTCAAAGCAATCCTCACAGGATGAACATATACCAAATGAAATTGATCAATTACAGCCGTATACACCGTTGAGAACATTTAAACAACCAATACAAACGATTCTGATCTGAAATAGTAAATGGTATTCAATATAACTCCTTATGAATTCTCACTCAGTCAGTGTTATTTATTTATAAGAGAAACAAATTTTAAAGAAATTTACATTTGATTTTACCTAGTACAAATTAGTTACATATAATACGCTAATCATTTGCAACATCACAATAGATCTTTCTAATCATGAATTTCAGTCTAACATTACAAAAGCAAACAGGTGCATCTATCTTCTAACTTTTGGTGTAAATGTTCATTTCACTCCAAAAGAATTCGTATTGATAAAAATTAGCATCAACAAATAACACTTATCGTTTACTAAACATCGATAAACAAGAGATCACTTAACAAACATCACGTTTTTCTATCAATCTTACAATGCGCTACTATCCGGAATCAATCATTTTCAATTAACGCCCATTTATATTCTACTTAGTTAAGTATATGGGTAGTAATAACTAAGTCACCAAATCCATTTTTGGGTAGCAGTGCATTGGTCAACAAAATTAAGCTTGAATAAAAACATTTATGACTTGAAATATCAATAAACTAGAATTACGAAATTAAAACTCTCTGAACAGTTTCTATAATTGCTACACACATTATATTTCATAAACAATAATCAGATTGAAATTACTGTAGACAAAGTTTAATAACAATTTAATGAACAACACTTTATGTATTTGAATAATTACGTTTCTAAAAGATAGTCAAAGTAAGGAAATATCAAATCACTTACCCCACATAGATCTGCCAACGGTAGAAGACCTTCAATACCAACCTGAGCTAAAATTCCAAGTGCTAGACAAACAGGACGGAAACGGTAAACTTCCAACGAACATAACGCGATCTCCATAAGTGTTCCCAATCGTTTATAAATAAGAGTTTCCCGATTGAAATTCTTTTGACGAGCTTTTGAAGGATCTTTTTTCACCTCATCTGATTTCTGTACACTTGAGGTTGGGTTATTTGTCTCTGAAACTTTTCCTCCGGAACTCTCCACATTTGACTCAAGTAGATAGCTATTCATAGTCACACCAGTATTGATCAATTCATCTTCAATGATATCTTTGGAAGATTTAGTCAAACAGTCTATGAAAAGTTGCAAGAAATCAAATGCATTCACGCCATCAAGATCATGAGATAATTTGGAATCGAGAATTTCTTCCATACGCAACAAATCAGCAGCATTACCACCACAACGAGTGATATGTACCATAGTTTCTGGATCAGGTAACACAGCGTTCTTAACAAAAAAATACAGGATAAAAACACAAACGAATGGATTATTTTCGGATATATTTGAAAATAATATCTGTGAATAAATTTCGAATGAACAGATGTTTCACATCCTCATCCCAAAATTCATTCTAGTGAATGTACAAGTCAGTAAGAAATACCATACATAACATTAAGATTGTATGACTTATACACGTTACATTTAACCGTCAACTATATCATGGGCTAAAACCCACTTCATTTTATAACAATAATTTGAACATCTTTAATGTTATCACTACTGGTCAATTATATCCAGTCTTTAAGAATATAACCGACATAAGACAATCAAAAATGGAAGTAATTTAGTGAAATGAAGTAGTTCTTGGAGTAAACTTTTGAATGAAAGTGAATGAATTCAATGCGAATGATAGATCTTGTTTTACAATTACAAAATGACAAATCTAAGTATTAAATTCAAAAAAACAATCAACGAGGCTCAATAACCGACTACATTTATTTTATCAAAGTATAAGCAAGACAACATGTGACAGCTATCACAATATTAGGTTCTAGAATTATAGATTGGAATGAAATAAGAGTAATCCTAATCTTAATGTTTGCATTTTTTGAAAAATTTACAATATTGTACATAGAGTTACAAATAAAATCACCGAAACTTAATTATTAATATTAAACCCATGCTAATTTAAGCAAATGAACTCGACCGTATTATCGTAATTAGATTAAGCCATTTTTCTCCTATTAAATACAGAAATAGGATAGAGTTCTAATTGTTTATTTAAATAAGTGAAGTTCATTTGTAAGCTGACAAAGTTTAATGGATAAATCTATCATTTATTTCATAGCATTAAATATAGTAAAGATAGTGAAGAAATAGAATAAATAAACAACTCAATGAAAAATTGACAGTTGTGATTGATACTTAACAAAATGAGAATATTGGTTAATAGACATATTAAATTAACCAGCTTATTGTTTAAACAATAAATCCGCCTGCAGAATAAACATACGATAACATACTTTACAATGGACATCAGATAATTTAAGTAATGATAAATTTCAAAACAAAGAAGACGTGGATTCAAGTTAACAACTGAACTTAAACTTAGATAAAAATGGCGTGATTTTTCGAAAATAGTTTGCAAAATTCAGTTTATTTTCAATATTGAAGAGAAATTGCTGCATAAAATTAATGAGAATATGAGTAACAATATTAAAAATCTTAAAAAAATATGTATTTGTGTAAAATTAGATGGAATACTACTGAAGTGTCAAGCTGTAAAACAAAAATTTGCAGGTTATTCATAACCTTTTCTGAGAAAACGAAACAGGATGATCACGTTTGATAAATCGAAGAATTTTTAGAAAAAAACATGAATTCGTAGATAGAATTTGTCAAGATTTTGATCTTAGGGTAGCACTAAAGACCAGAGGGAACAGGATATATATTTCGCCCTGGTATGAGACTTCTTGGTAGTGAGCGTTCAGAACACCTCCAAAGGTCGAGGCTTAGGACCTATAAGTATCGCAATGGTAGCTAAACCGTTGGGACAAATGAATAATTGTTCAATGGTACACCAAGTAAGATGAAATTAAAATAATCTCCACAAAATCCCATCTACAAGTTTTTCAAATATAAGACGTTAACTCCAAGCTTCCAGTAGCTTCTAAGACACAAGTATAATCAACGTATAAAAATTTACAGATATTTGACTATTGTTCGAATGCGTGTCGAACTAACAATTTTATTCACAAGTATTTATCGATACGTTACTTCTGTAGTGTCGGATAAAAGCCAAACTAAAAAGTTTTTTTTTTCAACTGCTATTTAAGCAAAATGAAAATTCTTTAATTCAAAAATACTGCTTTAAAACGATACCGATAAAACTTATCATCAAAGTAGTATAGAATAGCATTATAAAAATAAACATGTGCACGATATTAAAAACATTGGCATCTCCAGTTTAACAGATGGTCAAATACATATCCTTTATTAATCTGTTATCCAGATCAAATCATGGAAAAAGGATCCAAACAATTTTATGAAATGACAAAACTGTTACTACAGTATCCTTGGGTGATATATCGTGATAAGCCATGAAACAGTCTTCACAATGTACTAAATTTCTACATGTCCAAACTAATGCATAAAAATATGATGTATCAGCTAGCTTAATAAAGTAACCCAAAAGTTGCTGTGCTTATAAAACATTCAGTACGATAACTAGAAATATTAACCGGTTGCACAAATCGACGTACACAGAGTTGAATTCAAATTTACGACCTAATTGATGAAAGTAAAATGTTTTATAAATGAAAAGCAAAATGAAAATGAAGATTGTGATGGTCTTTACATACCTTGTTATTTGAGCTACTTAGCTTGCAGACAGCACAATAAGAAGCGGTAGCTACACAAGCCATATATTTAGGTTTGACCTAAAGAAAAATAATTACACATGAAAGAATGATGATAAGCTTGGTTAACAAGAAAATAAATAATAAAATATCATAACATTAGTCTCATAAGTTTCCTAGTATGTTTCATAGAAATCGTACTGTACAACAATGACCATGGAATTGATTATACATCAAATACATTCTGAATCGCATTATTTGAACGATTTTGCCATGAGTGATGAACTCAGAATGATCACATTACAACGCGCTATCACTGGTGGTCATGTACAAGACTGTGGTTCCTTTTGAAGTATCTTTCTAATTCAGATCCCGACTTGATACCCACAAGCTTACTTTGTATTTTGGTGCCCCACAGATGTCGCGCCCTAAACTGATTGATATAAATAAATTAGCTGTAGCTACTGTTGCGACCAAATATCAAATGAAGCTATATTAAAAGGTAGTTACCAGCTCACCGAAAACTATAGGCAAATTAGCATTGGCTACGTTTGAATAGAGACATGAAAATGGTAAGTTAAGTGACTTGCGAATTTACGAAAATTTCCACTTATAAGCGCTCAGTTCTCGCAACCATTCTGTGAACTCCCTGAGATACGCCTGTTTAATCCGGCTACATATGGTAACTGTAGGAAGTTGTTTCAACTCACCCAACCAACTAGCAGCAAGAATCGTCGTGTCAAAGATACAAACTGTAAAACTGATGCTACGTCTGTTTCGATAGACGGGTGAAGTTTTCGAGGAACAGTCCAGCTAGTCTTTTGAACAACAGCGTTGATTCAGTCAGTCAGTTACAACGTAGAACTTCGAACGTAAGTACATCAGTTCATGTTTCCATACCACATCAGCACAGAGATATAATTGTCAATTCAAATCCAATAGTAGAAGAGGTAGTAAAAGATTCATATGGATGTTGCCTATTTAGTTAATACACCAGTTACAATGCCCTGTAGATGGAACATTTCTGATACTGATCAGATATATTTTAAAAGAGCGCAGTTACAAAAGTGTCGTTCCAGTGATTGGCCGGTAGCAATTAGAATTAAGCAAAATCCAAAAGAAAAAACTAATGGAATTAATTCATACTTACCTTGACTTTAACAATGAAACGGTCAATTAGGTTGACAGCTTTACAAAATGTTTCTGTAGACAGATTAAAAAATGAATTGTGTAAAAACCGCAGATTATGAACCGCTTCATTTCGAAGTGCAGCGTCAACTTTATCATCCACCTCCTATTGAAAAAAAACGTGGAAGAATATTAACAAAGCACCAGTGTATGGCATTGAAAATAACTATGTTTTCAAGAAAATCGAAGAACTCAAGCAATGTTAAGTAGTGACGCAATAAAACCAGCTGGGTTAAGCTTTATCCCCAAAAATGAAAATCGTACAATGTTTACATAGATCTTTATTGAAGTTATCAACCTAAAATGATGGAATTGTAAATCATGGTTAAATTTATGCACACAAATTGCCTTGAATGTCTTAATACTTTCATTTATGCTTACAAATATTACCTTATATTAGAGTAAATCCCGATGGATAATTAAAAACAATATTCTTCTTGTTCTAAACCAAGTAACACTAATTCATCTTTAGAAATTAATATTATAATACAAACATAAGAAACTAGCTTCAGTAACATAACACTTACTGGATTCACATAATATAGGAAAGCATTGTTTGGTTGGTAAGTAAACTCCTTCGAGAGTAGATCTTGCAGACGATCGTTATTCAGTAAAGAGAGCTATAAAAGAAAGCACGGGTTTATTTATGAACATTACATGTTTGAAGAGATATTTACAATATCAACACCAAGAATATAGTGTATGGCAATGGCTTCAGCAAAACTGAAAATTTATGAACACTGACGTAACCTAAAGCAAGCTTCACACGTCACCAACGGCTAAACTGATTAGAAAGATCATACAACTACCTGGTAAATTTTCTGGCATTAAAATGTTTATAAAGTGCCAATATTGATATTACGCGATAGGTTTAGTTTAGTCCCTCACTGCTTGAGAAGACAGTAATGGGGTATTAGGCCAGTCAGTCAGATACAACGTAGAACTTCGAACGTAAGTACATCAGTTCACGTTGCCATACCACAGCACAGAGATATAATTGTCAATTAAAATCCAATAGTAGAAGAGGTAGTAAAGGTATTAGAAGTAATCGGAGAGGTTAGGATTAGAAGATATTATTCAAGAAGTACGAGTCAGTGAGATAAGTTTAGAAAGTGAAAACTAGGGGGGTCGAAGAATCCAGGTGATTAGGATTCGAGAGAACACGAAGAAAAAATGCACCGGCACCATTGCAAGATTTTACCAATAAGAACAGAACCTTCACTTGGTATTGTGAAGATCCAACGTCAATATGGACTAATTAACACGGGGAGAATAATCATAATCCTGAACAAAATTCTGGCAGTTAGTGACTTTATGTAGTGAACGAACTTACAGACCCATGCAATTTATCTTGATTTTTAAACCTTCAGAGCATATATCATATCATATCATTTAGATGTAATAAACAATTAAAACCTTGATGTCAAACAATAAGGTAATACATAAGAATATCTTTAAATTCCACAAGAAAGGTATAAGAAACAAAAAGGTTTACATATTTTATTGCTTTAAACCATATTCACTAGGCATGTTCTAACACAACTGCCTCAGATTATAAACAAAATAGATCACATTTTTAGTGGCCTGACATATGTATGGTACAATAGTCTAAAATTCAAGCAAGTATAAGAAGGACATACGACATCCCCATGAGACCTTCCACCTTAAAGCTGTGGTTTTGTAATTAACCGTAGCATACAGATGTTCAAAATCAGTAACTTTTAATTGAGACCCTAACCGCTGTTTAGTGGTACAAGTGAGTAATCACACAAATCTTACGATAATTGTACTTACTTTACAAACCATACGTGATTGACATATTTTGGACATATCGGAACGAAAACTATTTCTCGGTTGTAAGTGATGTACATAACATGACGCTGGAGCAGATATTGATATGTCTTCTAATTTATTATTCGAATGACTGTTAAGCTCCGGGCGTGAACGTTTATAATCAGAAATAACATGGAAAGGATATTGGTTCATGGGAATCTTATGAGCAGTTTGCTTTGAATTAGCTGCATCACATAGATTGTTGATAATATTGGATTTCTGATGATCATTTCCGTTAGAGATAGCATTTGGGTCACATTTCTGAGCTCGCCTTATGCGGCTAGGATATCGTCTGTATTGCGAGATAGTACGTTTAGGTGCCCTGAGAAAGTTAAATCTGGGTCTAGTAGTATAAAAAGATGCAGCACAGCCGCTATTATTGGAATGCGTTGTCTGAGGAAATGATTGTTGATGTTGACTCAAGACTTTGGCCATAATTTTCTAGTAGTAGTATTAAAAGAATCTGATCACTTGGTATAGATGAGAAAATATATCAGCTGTATCAGCGAACAATAATTGAAAACAAAATAAGTTAATCTTTGGGTTCTGTATAATAAATCTGCTGTGGAAACAAAGAAGCAACACCACGAACAAATGAGATGCAACCTGAGAGCTCACTGATCGAAAGTTAGGGGAACGGCGGTGTCCAATATATGTCACAATGGCTTAAGCTCACAAAGACTAGTGTCCCTATTCACCAATGAATAAGTAGTAACTTTAACCAATAAACACAAAGGTCATTAGTAGCGACAATTTGACCAAACAGCTATTCGACTACAAAAATCAATAGAGTCAGTTTAGCCAATCAAAATATAGCAAATATGTCTTTGACCTTGGATCACATTGATAAACCAACAGACATATCTAATAATTGCCCTAGATAGAGTGGTGTGGTGTGTTGTTTACTGACCACGTAAGTTAGGTCGGCCTTTGTTTTTTCCGAAACCTAAAGCTTTGGTAACCAAAACAAAAGCGGTTCATGAGGCTGTGTCCATTTACTGAATTAATAGTCAGAACAGAGATTGATCTATAGCCGCTTGTAGAATATACATCCCACTACCTGTGGCGTGAGTTACGAGATATTACCAAAAAAGAGACATCCTGAAAATAGTTGTCACCATAATGACGTTTTCGTGATTCAGGTTTGTGATTGTGGGCTATAAGGCTTACTTATTCTTTTAAAGAAATACGAGTTATGTATATTTACTATAATGAAAACGACCATTTTCCCACATCTGCATAATGTAATTACCACCAGAAAATTTTACCAGATAAACGATTGTTCTAATTTAATACCCTTAATCAACTAGTCACTTAATACGTCTACGAGGAATCGTATTATTAACAATTTCATGATAATAGGGTATACATAAATATAGGGAGAGGAAAATTGTCATGGATTTTAGTGTCGATGATAGGAAAATAATATTAACTTCTGCAGAGTTTTGATTTATCAGTAGCTAGCGTACTCAAAAAACTCAGGAATTGTTTACCGAAGTCACAATTAGTCTTTTTCAAATGAGAAGTAGTAGTACTTGTTGTTGTAGGCGGTAGTTTGGCTTTCATAATACATATCCAAACAATCTCTGTTAGTAGGGACTAAACTACCTCAACAATCGACTTGTCATCGTTACGTAGCACTAAGTTTAACCTCAGTATTGTTTTGAAATAAAATTCTAAAGATCACAAAGAAACGCTACCTTTATCACCATCAACGGACCCTCCACTATATAGACAAGTTTCTTTAAATTACATTGTTTTGAGATAAAGTTATATTCCATTTTACCATTTGGATACAGTTTAGTAAAGAGACATTGCGCTGTTTGTAGTGTGTGGAATTGGGTTGGGTTACATAACATTTAGTTGTGTTCTCATAATGATTCCATGATATTCATACATACAATCCAAAAATGTCAATCTATGTTTCACCAGTCTATGAACATTTCTTTTGTTAGTGATACCCTTCTGTTGATTGTGTAACTTTTTCGATTCCGAATCAGTAAAACTATTAACAGTTTATGATCAGTTCAAAATGCTTACTTGATTAGTTTAATTTCTATCTTTTGTGAGAATATGCAGGAAATGTATTTCTTATATTTTACTCTTTTCACATAATACAGTAAACACTCATTCACAGAAACTGTTAGATATTCAACTTTTTGATACATTTTTTATGTTTATGAATACAGAATTACAACTAACTCTGCACTTCTGAAAATCATCACTTGATTCCATAGAATATTTGTTAATATTCAAACTTACTTAGTTTGTTGTCTTTCAACATTAGTATTTTTGTACGGAAGTATAATAAAATTAGTCCACCATCTTAACGAAACCATATTCTTTCGGAATCGGAACACTTTTGAAATATTTAGCAAAAACGTTTCAGTAACAAATCACTATATCACTACCTGTTTATTTTAGTCTTCTTTTTAAACTACCAAGAAGTCTGTTTCATCAAAATTGGAGAGCAGAATCACGCTATCCTATACTCATCGGATGGACGTGAGTCTGCATCTCTTTTTACCATAACATTCTCAAATATTTGTGGAAGAATCACAGTGATTTTTTTGAGTCTTATTTTTTGAGTAACCTTAAAGAAGAAATGATTCATGAATCGTAATTACCTCGTCCATCAAGAACCATAATGAAAGTCAAATAGATCTACTCGCAAGTTAGATCTAAATATTTATTATCAAATACAGGGGAGTCAAGGCATTAAATCAGTTAGATTACTAGTCACGTTTTACATCTGATAAATGAAATTCGTTTGTTAAGCTCGTCAAATTCCAGTGATCAACTTTTGTGCTAATTATTGATTTCTCTGTTAGTATGCGGTTATAGAGATTGTCGAAGTATATTGCAATCATGAACCAATGTAGGTTAGGCAATTATTAAGAACCCAGAAGCATTGGGTGATCACTTCTTCCTAGCATGAGATCCCTTAACAGTGCACATTCACGATCCCGCCTATCATTTTATTACATGAGCTGCTTTCTATAAAAATACCAAATTATTAATTTGGTAACTAATACTTTTTATCATGAAAACGAATGTGAAAGACGCTTCATTTTTTTTTGAGTTATATATGTATGACAAAAGATAATTTGTTTCAATCTACGATTCTATATAAAACATAAAATAATTCCGAAGGTTCAGTTAAAAAAGGTGGTTGAATACGTAATAAGAAATTTACTCGGATGAATAATGTAAACACAAATTCAGTGTTAAGTATTTATGTCGTGGACCATCCGCTACATATTCTGGATCTTTAAGAGGGATTGGCCTCCATGTTACTCGTAGGAATTGTTGCACCTGGTGCGGTAACCTCTGTAACCACCTCCTGTCACGTAGATCGCAAACCGTCTATAACTGCTGTAGTCTCTTCTTATCTGAGACAGGCTTACGTCATACTACTGCGACTCTCAGCCTATCATATGGTACATTCTCTGGCACTTGGTAAATGAGGTTGCCAAATTCAGCTACGATTTCTGTGGGCAAAGTGGCCACTACGTGTGCATATTTGTTTACCAGAGAGCGCATTTAACAGATTACAAATAGGGCTTCTACTTGCGTAAAAATAAAAACCGGCTCACCAATTAACTGTATTTGACCGAACGAAATACGAAAATATTTCAACTCAGTAATACTTAATAAAGTGCAAAAGTAAATGAGTCAATCGAATTATATATATAATTTCAAGAAAACGCGGATATAGATCCAAAGTGTTCATATGTAACTGATGGGTAAAATTATTAATAGAAGCGTATAGTGGCTAGCAGTGAAATCCAGGACGCACGTTTCGTCCTATTTCAGACTTGGCAACAGGGTATGCCCGCATCCTGCTGATGTTTAGGATTGTGATTTACCAGTTTCTTTGATATATAAATGAAAAGATTCAAGCAACCAATACATATGATAGATAAAATATAGTATAATATGAGCTAAAAATCTATGAAATATGATTCTTAATAAACACTAAGAGAACGGCAACCAACTATGTCAAAACGAGGTATGTATACGTACACTCGTATTTTATGAACGGTATTCAGTATAACATGCCATTAGTGAACAGGATTAATCGTAGTCACTAAAACAAAGTTTTTTAGTCAACAAAGTGTATGTGTACATTGAATACAATTATGAAACACTAAAAATATTAACAACATTACTTAAAAATTAAGATTGTTTCAACAATTTCCACAGTCCTCAATACGTGACAGGACCAAAACTTCAACTAATTCTCGATCTGAAATGTTCACTTTACTTGGATCATTTTATCGATTCAAACATTGTTGTATAGTTTGCCTCTATTTCAGATTTAGAATATTAACATATGGGTCGACTACTTAAGATCATATTTCTCAACAAAACTGTCTCAAATATCAATATGAATTAAGATGTTTAAAGGCATCGATTTCTATTCACTTAAGTAGATATAATAATTACAGAATGAACAATGTATACTTATATATAATTTCAATAACTCAATTAATCGTTACTAGGACGTTCTTATACCAGTAAGTTTACTAACATTCTTCTAATTGTATGGTACAAATAAGCTATGCAGAATTAATTTGAACAGAATGTGCTTTTACATTTGCAGTTTTCTTCTACCAAAAAGTTGATCAAACCATTACTGTAAAAAAAGTCTTAATTAATAGAAATTACACAATTTTGAACTTCAGTCGTGTCTTCATCTAATATCATTGTGTGAATCAATGACCAAATGTTTACAAATCATTTAGATGAATTTTAGCCTTGCATTTACTGATTCATAAAGGCTATTAATTAAACACTTGATAATTTCCCTTTTTTTATCTAATGAAATGAATCATCCCATTTCACCTTTCCTTGTAAGTCATTCACTTTAGTTATAATGAGTCAGTCAATAAGTTACTATTTAAGGAAATTATACATCGCACGGTTTATTTCCCTGTAGCTTCTAAAAATAGAAGTAGGAGACAAACCCAGAAATATTTTTTTTTAGTGTTTAGTCTATATATCTCGCTTGTATTTGTAAAAAAAATGATATCTTTGACACATTGGTTTTATGTACTGCGTTTCAGTGGCCTGGATTATTACGAGATAAAAAAAAGTAATCATGTTATCAGTCCATTATAGGATACATATTTCGTTTTGGACAAATGATGCGCTCATATTCCAGCTTCTTGGCTCTATCTCTGAAACTAAGTAACCAAACAGCCATCTCTTCAAATGTCAGACAAGTTTTATATTAAGTAAAGTAATTATTGTTGATTAATCTAGATCGATTCTAAACAAAACTAAATATCCGATCAATCATAAGTGGTGTGATTTGTAAAGTTGCATACTATATATATTAAATGATCAATACAAATGTTGTTCAGTGAAATTAAGTACCTGATTGATTTGTGTTACCAACAACAATATCTAAATATTACTTGAAGATGATT